AGAGAGAGAGAGAGAGAGAGAGAGAGAGAGAGATTATTATTATTATTATTATTATTATTATTATTATTTGGATTGACCAATAACCAAATTCATTAATTGCACAGCTATTCCATACCTGCTTTTTAAACAATACTGTATTTTAACCAGTTAGTTTGTCTTAATCACAGAAAACCTGTCAATTTCTTGGAGTGGGGCCTTACACCAAGAACATCCCAGGTCGACCAGAGTTACCCAGTGGTGTATCGAAGAATTGTATCATAGCTATTCCTCACCAAGCCAGCAAAAGTTCAAAGATTACATGGTTAAGCCCATCCAATGAGAGCGATCTTAAGTATGTGTTTTTATATTCATTTTCTTAAATCTTAAAAGAGTACATTTAACATTTTGTACCTTTGATTTTTTAGTATTGAATTGAATGTATGGAAATGCTGTTTTTATTATATCTAAATAAAGTAGTAAAAATAGATAAATGAATTGGTTAATGATGAAAGATTTGTTGAAAATTTACTGTTACCTTGGGAATTTTCAAATCAGAAGGTAGAGTTCAGTGTCATGTAAACAGTTAAATATTACTGATACTTATATATTTTTTCAGCGAATGGATGACAGCTATAGTAAGCACAGTAAGTAAATGAAATGCTGTTATTATGCTGTTATTTGCAAGTTTTCCATTATTATAATTTGAACAATATAGTTTAAGTTATGTTAGCTTTTTCATACTTAATTGATATTGAAGAACCAGTGCAAATGTATATTTTGATAGTTTAAAGACACTCAATAAATCTGACATTTATGTCCCGCCCTTCTAGATATCTTCTTCTTGATTCTAAGTCTGGACCCTGAGTGTTATAACCAAGATAACATTGTGTTCTGTTCATGAGGACTTACAGTATTGGCATTTCAAATCTCTAGCATCTCTATAACTCATGTGATCTATAACGTAGGTGGTTTGAGTTACCTGAAGAAGTTCTTGAGAGAACGCAACATTATAACATTTTTCATACACAGATTCAAGAAAGATTATATCTATATATTTCTCCAATTGGAAGCATAACAGTCTACATAAACTTATTTTGGCTCTCTCTTTTTCAGTTGCCTCCTCCTCCACAGCAGCAGCAACAGCAAGGCCAGCCACAGCAAGGTAAGGCATTCTTCTCCAGTCACAACCACATATCCCAACTAACACAATGAAGTTCCCCTTGGATTAGAATTAAAGGTTGTTGACACATGAAATCCATGGAGTAGATTTACTTAAGTTATTGTAGCAGAGTCAAGTAGTGGGAGGGAAGAGGGACAAAGGGAGTATCCCCCCTCTCAAACTTTGCCTTCTTTGCTCTTGTTGTTTAAAGCTCTCATGCATTTAAAATAAATGTGGCATTGTGCCATAACTGTAAAAAAAGTACAAGGTTTGTAAAAAATATAATAAGTTTTGAAAATATACGATATATAAGGACAGTACAAAATTGATAAAACTGTGTTATTCCTCAATCAAGTTTTATTGGCACTTTCATATTTCTACAGGCCAGCCCCCACCATATAGTTCCCAGCCTCCTGGTCAGCCAGGGTACCCACCTTCAGGTGGGCCACCACCCCCAGGACCCCCAGGGTACCCACCCCAACCCCAGGGCTACCCACCCCAGGGAGGGGCATCTGGGGGTTTCATAGTCCAACAACAGCAGTTCCAACAGACAAGCTTTCAACAGGGACAGAGAAGACCTCCCTACCCTCAGCAGAGAGGAGGTATGAGTGGGAACACCACTGTTGTTGTCCAAGGAGACAGGAGAAGGAGAAGATCCTTTGACTCAGACGATGGGTTTGCTGCAGGTAAGTTAGACATAAGCAGGTGTCTATTCCTTTTGCTTGGTTCACTGCTTATGGTCTTGGTCTCCCTGTAGGTCATTGATATGTAAAGACTAAACTAAAATTTTGAACAAGTTTACAAGAATATCATGGCCTTTGCAGCATTTGAGGAGGCCAAATTAAGTCAATGAGTTACAAGTTAGCTCAATTTCTTTCATTAACCTGTTAATTGATCAAAATTGAATCATTGAAGTGATATTTTAATCACATCTGAAAAAAAATTAGTAGCACTGCAATTTTTAGGAAAATAATGACTTCCAGCTTCATCTTCCTAATTCAACTCTTTTTGTTTCATTGACCCATTCATTGATAATACCTCAACTGATTGCATGCTGTTTTATAATAATAATAATAATAATAATAATGATAATAACAATAATAATTGCTATTATTATTATTATTATTATTATTATTAAGCCTGTCAACTAGACTACTAACACTGCATGCTTACACCATATTTCAGGGATGATGTTGGGGATGGCCTGGGGACATCCTGGCTATTATGGAGGGGGATGGGGATGGGGATACCATAGTCATTGGGATCACCATGGCCACTGGGATCATGGTCACCATGACCACTTCCATGAGGGTGACACACACATCAATGATACAGATATCAACAACACCGAGATTAATCAAACTACTGTAGTGAATAACTATTATGGTGACCAAGGTGGTGACCAAGGTGGATATGATGAAGGTGGATATGATGAGGGCAGTTATGATGAAGGTGGATATGATGATGGTGGATATGACGATGGTGGATATGATGATTTTGATGGGGGAGATTTTGACGGAGGAGATTTTGATGGAGGGGATTTTTAAGATGGATATAACAATACCAACAATGATTACCTTGGTGTTGTGGTTTTGATGACAACAGTTTTTAAGCAAAAGAGCTGTGGGTGTCTATAAAAATGTGCCAGACACTATTTTTAATGAAGACATATACAAAGCAGGTCCGTAGCCAGCAAATTAAAAAGGGGGGTTCTTTTTCTGAAAAAGTGGACCTTTTACAATGAAACTTATGTGTACCTAGATAAAATTTTACCCAAAGTGGACCTTTTCCTGGGAACAGGGGCGGTTCTTTCGAACCCCCCGAAACCCCCCTGGCTACAGGCCTGCAAAGTGAATAATATTATGGTGGATATAATGAATTGATAGAGGTGAATTTGATGGTTGTGACATTTAAGTTAAAGAGCTCTTGGTGCTTGTAAAAAAATTTGAACACTATTCTTTATTCTTCTGTGATAGGATTCCATTATTGTTGTATTGCATTGATCTGAATTTGATTCATAAAATTGTTGAACTGTTACATGCAAAATCATATTCAGATCAAGCAAAGCTTAAAGACATTTAAATAAGTGTTGCCCTCCATTAACTTTGACTTTTATACTCTGTATCTTTTTGTTTTGATTTTTTTTATCAAATGAGAGTTGAAATTTGTTTGAGTGTTTTCCGTCCATTCCATTTGCAATTTACACCTTGTTAGTTCTTTGTATTAGTTTGTATTGGTTTCTATCACATATCTAGAAGGTCAGCCCGAAAGATTTTTTCTGACAGATTTTTATCATGAATATATGCATTCCTGAAGAAACCAGATATGTCACATTCCTATTACCATGATTCATATTTTACAGAAATGGGTAAATATCAAAGGTTTAAATTTTGAGCAAGTTTGTTACTTTGCTATATAGCTTTTGACAGGTATTTCTATCTGTGTATGAATATTTGTATATATCTCAGAACAATACATGGAAACGCATATATTTGTATATATATGTTTGTGTGTGAGAGTATGTGTACATTGATGGAATGTACAGTAAATGTAGAAAATATTATATTTCATATTAATAAGCAGAAAACCACAGCTGTTAGCAGATTTACTAATACTTTTGGATGTATTTTGTCACATTTGTTATATCTTTGAGAGGTAGAGAAATTATCATATACAGTATGTAGATATGTTATTTTCTTTTTTATGATTTTGATATCTGTGACAAATGAATACAGTTTTTTAAACATTTCTCGAACAGATTTTTGATTCTTAGAAATTGAATGTAATGTTTGGTTTTTCTTTTCAATCAGCATTTTATTCCATCCACTGATTTGCTGTATATCTTAACATGATTGTGAAATTTTATTTAAACAACAACATACAGCGCCGGCTTAGAATAGTTTATTGGTCACTAACTACACTAGGACTTACATCTAAAACTACAACCAATAACAATAAGCTTTAATAAGCTTAAATAAATACATTAGGCCCATCGTGAAATGAAAATATAAAGTCCCACCAGTGGGATGAAATATTGTTATCCAATGGTGGAAATGAAGCTGATTCATAAGCATACATATAGTATATATAAAGCAAAGCATAATTCTTGTACACAGATGTGGAGGACTAAATAAACAAGCAACAGGGTGGGAGGGTGGGAATCAGTGATACAAAACGGAGGGCGGCTTTGCGTGTGCTGCTGCACAACTCAAGCTAGCTTTGAATTAAGCGGTGGAAATGGTGCGCTTAAGGCCTCTGTGTAGCCTAAGGCTACAGGCGGAGCATTTACTACGTCATATGGCTTAACTAAGCAGGCAGCGCTTGTGCTGTGTTTAAATCAGATTAACAAGGTTAATCTGCACATATACATGGCTGTTCTTACTGGGGAAAGTTAATCTTTGTAGAAAAAAAAGAGGGACTGGAATGATATCTGTTCTTTCATGGTGAATATATTTTTGTGGCAAGTTAATAATCATGCACGTGTCCCTATGAATATTTGTTTTTAACTGTAACATAATCGAAGGAGCTAGTATTTGTTATATGTTTTGCAAACCATTTATGATTGCAGTATTTTTATTGTGATACCTTAAAGAAGATATTTTTTATCAAATATATTGATCAGAATAGATCTTGTGCTAAACATGTCCTGAATTTTAGCTAGAAAAATGCTGTCACACCAAAAAGAATGTCTGGTGCATAACTCTCAATAGATAATGTAATATTATATCTGTAACAATAAAGTGGTACCAGAAATTAAATTCTACTTCAATGTAGTTTTATGTTTGCATTTCCAGTATATCTAACATAGGAATTAAACAAAATGGCTCAAAGTTACACAACTGAGCGTAAAACAAGAATTTGTGGGATTTGGAGGAAAGTGGGGTCAGAAATAATAACACACAAGCATGTGCGGTGCAACAGTAAAAGCTGACAAAATAATTCAATATATATTTTTCTATTTGTTTTTTTCAAGCTTTGTAGAATTACATTTTTATATTGTGCATTCACTGTGTTATGTGTTTTGGTTTTTGTATTGTTTTCTAGGATGATATTCATGGTGCATAGAGTTTCACCCTTATTTCTGTAAAGATGACCCCACTATATGCAAATTGTTGCATGTTTTCTAGTCCCTTATGATGTCATGCAGTACCAACAACCTTATTTTTTCAGGCTATCTCTGATTATTTTCATGCTAGATGTCTGAGATTAGGTTGTACTCATATGACACGGATAAAAAAAAGTGTGAGTGTCATCTAAAGGCTATCATGTAAGATATGAGTACAGTTGAGCTGATAACGATAATAATTAACTGTTAGTTTGTTCAGTGCATACTTTACAGAATTGTATTTAAGTATGCTCAACTCCTGGGTTATTTTATTTCTTGGGTTGTTCTGTCAAGAAGGATCCATTTGAACTTTCTAGGATGAAGACAGTGGGCAGGTGCACACACATGCATTTTGTCATGTACCAGTAATGCAGGTGCATATGCACTTTTGCATGCTATTTGTACATGTACCCCGACATATCTCATGTAAGTAAATTTAAGATAATTCAAGATAAGAAGGGCACCTGCAATCCTCGCATCAACAGGTTACCCTAAAGATGGAAATAGTATTTGCCATTGATCAGTTGCCAGTATATCTATCAGTTGTCTTAACATAGACAAGTTGCTGTCTTCACTGTCTTGTTTACCTGAAACGCCATATCTTTATCAGTCCGTTATGATAGGGATGTGTGATGATGTGAGCTAAATACCTTCATGTCTTGATTGATACAGTGCACAGTTTCTGGTTTATGGCTGTTGTTTTGTTTTATGGTCGCTGCCTCGGGTGTAAGTGCATACTTCCAAAAACACATGGCCTCAGAAGTACAAATGACAGTTATACACATTCTGATTCGCTGAATGTGTGTAACTGTCATTCATACTCCTGTGTTCTTTTTGTGCCTTAAGGACCCCCAATGTATTGTAAAATTTCAATCATCTGTAATATATGGCTCTGATTGCAATATGAGAAAGAAACAGCTAGTAAATTGCTAGAAAGGGGGACACAGTATAGTGTTAAGATATAGTTAAAAGTGTGCCTATAACCACCATTATTGCATTTGGATTTGTTAACAGGAAAAGCACCCTTTTTATTTGCCATAGACTTGAATTATTATATTTTGTCATCCTGGATATCATATGTAAAATGTTTGCAAGCAATACTAATCTATGTGTGGTCCAAGACTATAACTAGAATTCTGCAATGCTGTGACCAAGTTGCATGTCTTTACGGCCCCTGCTGAAGCTATACTTTTGGGTTTGACTAGTAGCTCTATGATATGCCGCACAACTTGCACTGTAATTTTATGTGCTGTCCTAAAATTTATGACTGTAACTGTTCATGATCTGACTGTTATCCTGGTTAATCTTGCCGACTATTGGTGCATATCGTCAATGTCATATTTGTATTGGTGAAAAAAAGTGAGTGCTGGCTGCAAACACTTCTAAAAGTTAACGTACTGAGGTATTCACAAGTTTTGTTCCAAGGCTGAAGGCAAAATATGTATCTGATTATTTAGAAGGTGAACCTTTGCATCTAACAGTTAAGTATATGTTTTGGTAGGGTTGGTATGGTTGATCTGGTGGACAATATGCAAATGTCTTGATCTATCTCCTGTGTCATCTAAACTTTCCTCAGGCCGATAAAAGGGGAGGATTACCTTTGAAAGGCCATGCCTTCACCTATTTGTGATCCAAGATAAAGCTTGATACACACTTTCAATTTTTAAGAGGCTTGGCCTGTGCAGCTTTTTATTTGTAATGTTATTGTGCTTTTACTCTTCTTCTGTAGAAGGAGCCTCAGCAAAGGCTGTGAGTATACTGCTACATGTACATGTGACAATTGTATGTAATTGTTGTAGAATTTATTCAAGTAGAGTACTTTATTTTAGTATATATCTGTATACTATTAAAACGTTACAGTTTCTTCAACAGGAGATTAAAATTGTTTTCTCTATCTTTGAATTAAAATGTATGTTACAATATTTATTTCAAAAAACATGGATGGGTGGATAGACAGATGGGTGTAGAGTTTTCCAATGGTGTTGCACAATAAATTTTATCTGTATAGCTCGGCTTTCAATAACTGATAACCCCTGATTACAGATAATTTCCTTGAACATTTCACAGGAACCCAGCTAAATTAGATTTGGGACAGGGGAAAAATTATGCATTTATATCCCAATGCACATTCATGTAATCATTTCACAGCTTTGCACTTCTGTTCCAGCATCCAGAGGAGAGTTGCAGCAGATGAGGTGGGATTTTTTAGAGCGACAGAGATCCCCAAATGCTGAACATGGTCCAAATTAGTTTGACATTTTTGACCCGGACAATATTTTGTTGACAGGACTTCTTGTTTAAAAAAGCTGTATGTAAACAATTGCAAAGGTTTAGGTACATATTACACATCTTCAATGAAATCTTGTGGGTAAACAATTGTCAGAAGTTACCCAACCCAGAGATGGCACGTTATGTGACTTATGCACTAAACCATGAGTGGCACAGTTATGACATGTTCCTTAGTGCATCCCCTGGGAATGGGGCAATTAAAAAAGTGATAATTGCCTTTGTGTTTGCTCTGTTGATGGGGGCATTGATCGGCGTACTAGTGGCTCATGTGTCCCACACTGAGATTTGCTCGGCACAGGACAGAGCTCTCGCTAATGTCTTGAAAACATTGATAAAGGAGAGAGACAGTGATGCTAGAGACAGGCTCCTCAAAGCAATTGATCCTGGCCACATAGAGTATTTTCAACGGTGAGTTGATGTTACCTATAAGAACGTACTCAATTTTGTCATTTTATAAGCATGAGATAATGTATATTTAATTTTTTCGCACCTTATTTAACTTCACTGAATACATGTAGTAAATTCAGGTAAAAATCACAAAAAACACCCCCCCCCCCTCTTGCATACCTAGCTGGTTAGATTAACTTAATATTATATTAAATATATATTCATATTAAATAATCTCCATAAATTTTGAGTACTACTAACCTCTGTGTCTGTATGCTACTATGTCCACATTGAAGTAAACCATCTTAAATTTTTACAAGGGTAATTGTTATTTTATAAATGCAACAGGACAAAACTGCTGGCATAAGATGCAAGAAATTGGTGATTAGATTTTGTAAAATGTCTAACAGGCAGCCAATTAGTACATTTTTTTCAGTCACTTTGGAAATGCTACAAGCCCCCAAGAACTGGCAGAAGATGCGAAAAAATGGTGGTTGGATTTTGGGCTGGATATGGCGGAGGTCTTCACCCACAACCAGTTAGATGAGGAAGAATACCAAGAGACAGAAGTAAGGATGCTAGATCCTTGATAAAAGTTATTAAATACAGTAAACATCCTGCTCAATGAAGTTGATGTAGAAAGCTTACCCTACTTTTAAAATCTTTATCCAAACATTACGGTAATGACTAGATCTTTTCAATGGGCAAAAATAATCAATCTTTCAGATACATAATAATATTTTGGAGTAATTAAAATAACATTTCTATATAGCATTTGTGGTACTTTTACCATATAGAATAGAGCTATAAGGTAGCCATTTTTTTGCAACTACTCAATAGGAATGATCTAATTTTAAGAATTCATGACCTAAAAAATTCAACATCTGTAAATATCCCTATGAAAAGATTCCGTCATTACAGTAAATCTTGTCATTGATGAATCCACCTACGATAGGTAAACACTCTACCTGGCTCTTTCATCAAGTCACACTGGAGAAATGTATAACTGTTCTGATATATCTGAAAGATTTTTTTTCAGCCATAATACAGAGAGCATATTTTATGTGGCTAGGATATTATGGAAAATAACCCTAATGTACCATATTTTAAAAAAGGTCAGAGGGGGTGATGGGAGGGGTTGGGATAGGGACTGCATGCTCCTCAGGACAGAAGCCAGTCCTTGTAGAATAATCAGTTTTTAAGAAAAATTCTGGATAATACAAGTGTCTTGCCTACTTTAACCTGTCCAAAACAATGCCCAAGTTAAAGATATTTTCTTTTCAGTGTTTGTTTGCCTATGCAACTTTTTAAATAGTCAGATTTTATTTTGTATTAGAAAAATATGTTCTTATCTTGATGTGTCTCACAGGTTCATATGATACATGCTCACCTATAATTATGGTATTACACATTTTTACTGAGGTATGTCTTTGCCTAACAGAGAGGAAATGCCCATTTATAAATTCCTCCCTCTTTATAATTATCATGTACAACTGTTACCAGCTCCATACATTTGATATTCTACACATTTTTGGTATCACTTTCTATTGTCTTCAGAGTTTACCTTTTTTTAGTAAAATATTCAACAAAAGGCCCATGTTTTTTAAAACTGTTAAAACTGCTGACAACCCCAAGAACCTGACCTGAATTTTCATCCTTTACCCCAGGCTACTTAGACTTAATGACAAACACACCCTTTTCATTTGAATTTAACAGAAATAAATAACAGTAACACCTGCCTTCATATTTTTAGCGAAAATATTTACCTCACAGGGTAAAAAAATGTTCCATTAAGAGCCACTGTGCGTGACCTCCTATTTTTATGCCCCCAGTGTTGTATGTATATTTAAAGCATGTGAAATATGTACGTGCAGATTCTCTGAAGAGTAGACTGTCACCAACTCCACTCCCATCCCTACTCCCATGCCCACCTCCATCCCCTCACCACTTCCTGACATTCTAGAGTTGCCTGCTTTGTAAAATAGTAACCATCCACTTTGAAATTGCAGTTATGTTTTATTTGAATTTCAGTAATCAAGTTTTAACTTTAAAGAATTAAAATTATAAAATAAGAGTATGACATTCAAATTGAAAATTTTTCACAATAAAATGTCACATGAAAATGTGTTTATAATAGTTTTGATAAGTGTCAGACATCAGTTGGATGAATATCAATGCACATGATATAAACCAATTATAATAATGGTCAGAAATAAAAAAAAAATGAATAGAAATAATTCCGAAAAGATGAGCCCTGGGTAATTCTTATATGTTACTGAGATGGCACAATATTTTGATATCATCTTTCAGATAACAGTGCAGTATTCTAATGGTGTTGTACTGTTTCGAAATCAGAACATCCTGAAAGTTGAAAGTGATGCCACAAAAAAGCTGCCAGCTGGTCTTGTTGAGGTGACATTTAATTTTTGAAATATCTGATCCCTTTCTCTCTCCCTGTCTCTCAATTTTTTAAATATTTGATCCATATCTCTCTCTCTCTCTCTCTCTCTCTCTCTCTCTCTCTCTCTCTCTCTCTCTCTCTCTCTCTCTCTCTCTCTCTCTCTTTGTGACACATGTATGCCATTACATAAATTTCCTAGCGTAATAGAATCCATTAAGGAAATAATTCTCTAAGTTCAATCACTTATTTATACCATTTATACCAGAATTCTAAATTGAGCTGACTGTTTCGCTTGATTTTAATTTACCAGAGCACTGACTGCAACACTTGTAGGAAGTCAGGGTTAATTGTAATTGAGGTGAAAAAATCATTGTGGTAATATTCAGGAAATTAAAACGGAATCGATAGAATGCCCTGGATGGTAGCCATGGCATATAGCCATGCTGTACAATCAGTTCTGATAAAGTCATGGAATGTTATTGAATATTAGTACTAGGTAAAACTGATGAATTTTAATTAATTTAATTCAATTAAAACTCTATGCAAAACCCAGTAATGTTATAATATGAATCATACATGAACTTTTCACAAATCACCTCTCTTTTTTCTGGTTGTAGTGAAAAGATTGCAACATTCTTTTTTTTTCAATTATCTAAGTAATACAGATATAAATCACTTACAACAAAGGCTTTAGTCCACTTTTCCCTTTAGGGTTCATATAAGGCAAACTGGAAGTGGATTTTGTTTTTCCCATGTAACAACTCCATTTTTCAGAATGCCTCAGCTGTTTTCACCCAGAATTTCAGAGGCCACTTTGACCCCAACCTTCATTAATATCATGTCTCTGCCCCATGCCTGCCCTCTCTATATCAGAACATGTTGATAGTTGAGGTTACAGATAATTTCCAGTTCTGTCTTAAATGCAAGCTCCGTCTTAACATCTGAAGAGCGCAGTCCCACATCTCGCAGAGTCTCGTGTCATTGTCGTGGTTTCCCACTCGCACATGAGGATCGTGGATTTCAACCGCCGTCATTATTTGTCCTTTTTATGAGTAAGTTTCTTTCTTTTACTAATTTATTAACATACATCTACAAGGTTGTCAATCAGTTCTTCTAGCTTCCATTAACTGTCAACTTTCTGCATTAGATCATTTGCCCAAGTCTGAGAAAGTTGCTAGAAATGTTTTGTTAGATGGCATAGCGTTGGGCATGGAGGCTAATAAAAGGATCCTTGCAAGAAGAAGAGTTGACATCAAGAAACAGTTTTCTGGGGAGATTTCTCAAAATCTTACAATTCATGAAGAAGAAGACCCAAACTTCCTTTTTGGAGGAGATATATCCAAGAAAGTAAAGAATGTTGAAGAATTAAGGAAGCTCAAATTTTCCCTTAAAGGGAAAGCCCGTTTTCATCCTTTTCAACGTTCAGATGTCATTAAGAACAAATCCAAGTCTTTCCCAAAGCAGGGAAAAAAGTTGTTAGAGAGAAAAGTAAGATATTAAAACAATTACCATTTATTGCAGGAAATACTAAGAACAAGGTTTCTGAATGGCGTAAAATCACTTCGGATCCTTTTGTTCTGGATGCTATAGAACATTGTCATTTGGATTTTAATGATGATCCAGTATTTTATAGTATTGATGACCCTCATAGATTCAGTGAAGAGAAAAATAAAGCTATTGATGTTGAAGTTGAAAAGTTGCTTAATTTAGGTGTTATTTCAGTTTGTAGCCATGAAGCAAATGAATGCATTTCTCCTATATTTGTAGTACCTAAATCTGATGGAAGTTATAGACTTATATTTAATTTTAAAAAATGTAACTCCATTGTTGATTACAAGCATTTTAAGATGGATAGTTTGGAGACCATTTAAAAAATTAGTTAAACCAAATGTTTTTATGGCATCTGTAGATTTACAGCATGCATATTATAGTCTTCCAATGGCTATGGAACAGCAACGGTATCTCAAGTTTATTTGGAGAGGTGTTGTTTATAAATTTAATGTTTTACCTATGGGTATAAGTAGCTCACCTAGAATTTTTACCAAAGTTCTTAGGCCAGTGTTAGGAATGCTAAGACAAATGGGTCATGTTAATAGTGGCTATTTAGATGATATTTTTTTGCAAGGTGATTCCTTTTTTGAGTGTGAAAACAATGTCATAGATACTTTTTTCCTTCTTGATAAACTAGGCTTTTTTGTTAATTTAGAGAAAAGTGAATTTACACCCAAGCAAGAACTAATAGTTTTAGGTTTTGTGGTGAATTCGGTCTCTATGACTGTTAGATTAACAGATAAGAAAAAGTTCAAACTGAAAGCCTTATGTTTAACTTTGTTGGGTAGACAAAGGGTTAGGATAAGAGAGTTGGCTAGAGTTATTGGAAAGCTGATCTCTAGTTTTCCAGGGATAGAATTTGGTAGGTTACATTACAGGAAATTGGAAAATGACAAAGTTAAGGCTTTGGCTTTAAACAAGGGTAATTTTGATGCTGTTTGTATAATTTCCCAGGATTCAAAATTAGAGTTAAGGTGGTGGATTGATAATATTGATCACAGTCATAGATTTATTTGTCATGGTTTGCCTTTTATGATTTTTCAGACAGATGCTAGTGATTCTGGTTGGGGTATTTGCTGTTCTACTCACCAGAAATTTAGATCACGAGGTCTGTGGTCTATTGATCAGAAGAAATCTCATATTAATGTAAGGGAACTTTATGTTGTATACATATGTTTAAATACTTTTTGTCAAAATTTGACAGATGTACACATTAATTTTCAGATGGATAATTTTACTGCAGTTACTTATTTGAATAATATGGGTGGAATGAAATCGGAGAGCTGTGATTCTTTGGCTAGGAAAATATGGAATTGGTGTATTTCACGCAATATTTGGTTAAGTGCCATTTTTCTGCCTGGCAGTGAAAATGTTTCTGCTGATTCGCTCTCTAGAGAGATCCACACTGATCATGAATGGAAATTAAATGTGGAATTATTTTCTAGTCTTTTTAGACTTTTTCCTTGCATAAGTATTGACTTGTTTGCTACAAAGTTAAATACACAATTACCCAGGTATGTTTCCTGGAAACCTGATCCACAGGCTTCTCATGTTGATGCATTTAGTTTTTGTTGGAAGAATGAATTCTGGTATGCTTTTCCACCTTTTAGTCTGATTCACAAGTGCTTGGACAAGATTGTCAGAGACCAGTCAGAAGGGATTCTCATTGTTCCAGCTTGGACAACACAAACTTGGTATCCACGTGTAATGCAGATGTTATTTCAGACACCAAAACTGTTAGTACACAAACTTGGTGTGAATCTGTTGACTCATCCAGCTATAGAGGGAGATCACCCTCTGGAACACAAACTGGCTCTAATTGCTTGCCCTGTGTCAGGGAATTCTATAAAAGCCAGGGATTTTCAGAGGACATTATTGACATCCTCATTGACTCATGGAGACCTGCTACACAAAAACAATATACAGTATATCTCAAAAAATGGTTTAACTTCTGTTGTGAAAGGGAAATATCTCCATATTCCCCTTCTTTAGAGCAGGTGTTACAATTTCTGCATAGCATTTCTCATATGTCTTATTCAGCTATAAATACAGCTAGATCAGCTTTGTCATGTGTGGTTTTTATTGATAAGATATCGGTTGGTAAACATCCTTTGGTTTGTAGATTTTTGAAAGGGTGTTTCTTGAGAAAACCACCAAATCCAGGTTATCATGGGATCTGGGATATTAGACAGGTTCTTGATTTTTTGAAGACTTTCACTCCTAATGCCTTACTATCTCTAAAAGAGATTAGTATGAAATTAGCTATGTTATTGGCATTGGTCTCTATTCAGAGAAAACAGACTTTGTTGTTTTTAGATGTTGATAATCAATTTATGAAGAAAGATAAGAATGAATTTTGTTTCATTCTGGGCAAGCATGTTAAACAAAGTAGACCAAATTATGCAGTGCCGCCTGTAATTATACCCAGGTATACACTAGATCCAGACATTTGTCCTTATGTTTGTTTAGAAGATTATATTGAGAAAACCAAAGATTTAAGACAAAATACCAGATTATTTATTTCAACTTTAAAACCCTATGGCTCTATTACTTCACAGACTTTGTCTCGTTGGGTGAAGACTGTTTTGCAACTTAGTGGTATTGATATTAATATGTTTAAACCTCATTCAACTAGACATGCAGCAGCTACAGCTGCATTTAACTGTGCCCTAAGTTTAGATGATATTATGAAAAGAGCCGGGTGGAGCAGGGCTGACACTTTTAGAAGGTTTTATTTCAAACATGTTCTGCCAGGCAATGAATAAAGAAACTGTTGTCTCATTATTATTGTTTATTGTTTATTTTGGTTCCTTTTGCACATTCAGTCGTATTAACATGTAAGATTACAACATAACTTATCATGAAGTTATAACTTACATGGCTGATTGTTTTTTCTTTCACTTAGTGACACATATGCTTTAAAATCTTCAGATGTTAAGACGGAGCTTGCATTTAAGACAGAATTTTTAAGTTAAACGAGACTTACTTGTAAGTTGAAGTTGGACTGGAATTCTGTCTTAAAGGCAAGCAAGCGAAGTCTTAACATCCCACCCTTCCCACCTCTCATGGGATTTATCTTGTGATATATGTGTCACTAAGTTTCTTTGAAATATGACACGAGACTCTGCGAGATGTGGGACTGCGCTCTTCAGATGTTACGACTTCGCTTGCTTGCCTTTAAGACAGAATTCCAGTCCAACTTCAACTTACAAGTAAGTCTCGTTTAACTTAAAAATTATCTACCTAGCTAGCTGCAAACTCTATAGTAAATTTGCAAGAAGGAATTTTACTCTGCGACAGAGGTCTGTTGCAAATTTGAATATACATTCGTGCAAACTTTTGCATACTTGTTGACGCATACTGTTTGCCATTAATTATTTAGTTTCAGTGTTTATGGCAAACTTTTTATTTTGCTCTGAACTTCTGGGGGACTCTTTCAACTTTGTTAAGAAATCATGGTAGTCTGTTTAAAAAGAGGAGGGATTTATATTTCAGGTTTTCAAGTAATGCTGTACATTTCTATTCTGATTAGGGCGATCTGATCTTTGCTAACTTTGGCCAGCGTGATGACTACCAGTACCTCCTCGATAACCTGACACACCTGAGGCTGGAAGGCAAGATCGCTGTAGTGAAAGAAGGAAAGCTATCAGTGGAGGAAAAGGTGTGAGCAATTCAGTTTAGAGAGAAAACCCAGAAGCTGGTGTAACAAAAGATCTTAAGACTCAGAATAAAATCTGAATTGGTCTTGAATATTTTGCACTACTTATAGGTCCAGAGGAAATTAATAGTAGTCCACTAATTAGTTAAACAGTAGCCATTTCTTTTCTTCATTGAAATAGGTTTGATTTTTAATTTTAAGAATTATTTCTGATTTATCTTGGATCAAGATAGAGAAAGTGTGTCTTTAAGATAAGACAAACTTTCTGTCTCAGTTTTGTTGTTATATACCAGTCAAAGGTGCATATTTATACCAAATTATGTTACTCGGATTAATAGGTGTCTGAAACCTACTACTCCAAATCGAAACCCTCTACCGTACATGTAGACCAAAAACAAAAACAAAGCTAAATTTTCTACTACGGTAGTCTGATTTCATTTGTTATAAATAAACTATTTTCTGGCTACTCCAGTGATTCTAGTTAGTTCCCTAGGACCTGAGGCTGATATGGCACACTGATAATAAAAATATACACAGAGTAGGAAATGCATCAATGAACAGAGTTGGCAACTCAGTTGATGACAAGAACAGGCACCTATAGCTACTGCACAAATTATCAGTCATAGGAGTACATTTTTTTAGTCGTCACAAAGCTGGGGGCACTGGTATTTTGATGAATCCTGTCCAAGCACTTAGTATTCATAAAAGTAGCATGCACATTAATTGGCCAGATAATTATGACCACTGTGTAAAGCTACTGGTCAGCTTATAGCATGGCAGTCAGTCTAATCAGGGAATTATATCGGATATAATTCCCTGATCTGATGTCATATTTTAAAACCCTGTCAACATATATTGCATTTGTATTTATATGCGATTTACATAGATAATTTATAATCAGAATAGGGGAATTAGTATTTATGTCTTTTGAAATTAATGTTTAATTATAATATTTACATGTCCTTGCATTAGGAAATCAGCTGTGTGACACTCATGCAGTTATATATATATGCACCATGACAGTTTTATTGAAACAACATTATTATGTAAGATCACAGTTATGTGCATTCTGATATTTCAGTGTCTGTCTGGTCAATTTCTTCATACATGTAATCCAGCACAAGTTTATCTCTGAACTAAATTGTGGTTTTTGAAGAAACTTTCATAGCAACTGGATATTTACACAAATATTTTTAAATTAATGTTCTTGGAATCAGATAATTCTGTTTCATTGACAGGTACATCAGGCAGTTGCAGTACACATCCGTGGACTGATCCTCTACCCAAAAACCCACATCAATCATTCAGCGCTCACCAACTCAAACGAAGCTTTACCGCCTGAAGATACACCTGCCACAGGTTAATTTTTTATTTTTTTTTATTTATTTAATGTTAATTCCTGTGCCTTCATCTTACAGGCTAATAAGAATCTTTTACATGTAATACTGGTATAGAAATTTTTACTGTGTTTATTGATTTGCAATTATAAATATTGCTGTATATCTTACTTTTATTGTTTCAGTAGACTATTAGGCCAGTGGAAAAATTGTACATCTACTTGGTGCTGAAGCAAAATATGATGAACTCTCTGTTTCTGTTTAGGTATTGACCATTTAGGCCACACCTTGGAGATCCCAGTATTAACCCTCTCCCACCAACAGGCAGATGTCTTCACAGGGTAAATATTCATTAACCTTTTCCATTTATAGGTTGATGCTGTGATTTCACCTTTTGAGCTAACTACTACCACGAGTTTTATTCAGTTTTCTAGACGTCTTTACCATTTTGAGTATCCATTTTAAGTATCCAACTAGCACAATTTCAAAAGGAAAGACGTTGTTAATCCCTAGGAAGTATTTATGGAATATAAACAACAAAAAAAAATTATTGTAAAAAGTTTATAACACAAAAAGGTGGAATTTGTGATTTTTTTAATTTGCAAAAGAATACTAACAATTTAATTCATTATTATTCTAAATTTAATTTTTCCAGATGCATATTTTAAATCATATTTGATTAATTTTCAAGTCCTTGTATTTTTTAATAGACATATGGGGGGCTACCCTGTTCCTCATATGTGGCTGAAAGATGCTGTGTCACACGTTGGTCCAGGATTTAGAGGTACTTGGGCTGGGAGGTAGGTAATGGTAGTAAAGTGTATGAACTGGTATATATACAAAATTATTGGTGAAGACTGTAATTTCGTTTATAGTGCAATATGCTTCAGTCGCATACATGTGGTCATGAGACATACAGTACCATCGCCACTCAGTTCAGTTCAATTTTTTCCTCTCCTTCAATATTAGGAACTATAAATACATGTTTTTACTTGCAAAGAATGAAAAAAGGGGTTTAATTCAAGGATGAAATAATAGGCTTTCCTCTTCTCCACAGTTGGCAGCTTGCATTCAGAATATTTCAGATTGTAAAGAATGTTAGTAGCAATGGCAAGAAGGCAAGAATGTTAAATAGAGTAGTATTTGTGTTTATTTTTTCAAAAGATTAAAATAAATCAATTCAAGGAGAGAATCATCTTTTTCTCACATTCATTGTTAGACGGTTTTGAAGAGGTTTCAATCATTTAATGGTATTTTTGTGTAACTTCAGCCATGTTCATCTTAATGTCAGAGATAAGAGGAAGGAAGACAGCAAGCTGTATGCTGTTGTTGGGAAAATACGTGGAAGCATAGAGCCAGGTAATGCAAGAAGAATACACAATATTAAACACCTATCTGATGCAATTGACTCATCGGTGTTTGGTTGGACTAGTAAATTTGAACGTTTCAGAGCTACTAGTCCCACTTTAATATAAAAATTCTTAGAAGGATTATCTTCAGATAAGTTTATGCTCTTATAAAGCAATAATTTTGAAAGACTGAAACAGTTTAATTTAAGACAAAAGTGAAAAATCAAATCACCTCTTGATAGTTTTAAATTGAGTAGTCCCATGCAGATGCATCGATTGTGTCAAATTTCATGAAGTTAATCCACGCCAGATACCTACAATGACAGAAACCAAAATATCAGAGCTAAGTTTCCCATTCAGATCAATATGTTCTGCTATATGCCCACCAGCATGTGGTAAATGTCAGCTTACCCTATGGATCTACCATGCTGACTGAGCTTGCCAGAATCTATGGAAAAGTGATGCAATCAGGTAAAGAGGGTTTTTTCTCTCTCTCCCCCCCCCCTTGCTAATGAATTAGAATACAGACTTTGTCACATCAGTGCTAAAATCAGTCCTGCTTGAATTGATTACATGTGCCACAGTGGGAAGCATGTTAACATAGTCAGAGTTCAATGAAATGCATGTACCAGTAGTGATATTAGTTTATTAGTTTAACCAGAGGTATCAGATGACACAGATATTGTTCACTATACAATAATAAAGTAACATGAAGTAATAATGTGTAACAGTACTAAATCTACAAAAACTATGTCAGTGCTACCAATCAACTGATCAGAAAATATGGATTGAATAGTTACATTTATGTATAATGGGCAAAGCAGTTGGACTCCCACTCCTCCAAAACAAAACCAGGGTACAGTTTCCTAAAAATTCTTTTAAGCACCCTAGTCTAAATTTCAATTATCTGATATGAAACCAAGGTAATAA